CCTGCTATCCCTCCCCAGCTCCCCACCCCCCACCGTCCCTCCCCTATTTCCCCCCAACTGACCCCAGTGTGTAGTGCTCCCCTCCCTGTGTCCATTTTCTTATTTGCTCTTCAGATTTCTATAAATACCCTAATGTTTGACAAATCCATATTGGAAAGCAAATGTACCATTTACTCCAGATTTATGTGGAAAATCAGATAACTGATTATATGACTATTAATATGAACTATTTTTATTTAATTAGGAATCAATTAATGATGTAAACTATAATGCCGAACAAATTCGCCTCAATTTTATATCTTATTAAGGCTATGAATTGATAATCAAATTATTTTTTAACAAAACTTACAAAGCTGAGCATCTGCATGGAGAGTTCCTCCTTTAGGATTCAGTTTCTGGGTCTGAATTACAGGAACTGGTTTATATGATTGACCTGTGGCCCTATACATGGCTTGAACCCATAATATTCTGTCCTGTTCATCATCACTGGCAAATATTACAGTATCTCCTTCTTTCACAGCATTAAAGAACATACGACCACCCTGAAGGCCTGTGGAGGAAAGAAAGACATCATTAAAAATTTATAGGATTGGCAGATTTTAGTCTCATTCACTAACTGACCTTAGGGAAAAGAATGGATTTGATATTAGCAGTTCAGTTTTAAACAATATTTAGTTTAAAGGATCAAATCCACAATCCAAGATTTGAAGAGAGACAATAACAAAAAGGTTTAATTCCCCATATCACCTCAGAAATAAAAAAAAATAACTTAGGGAAACAAACGCTCCATGACACAGTAGCATTTTACAAGACATATAAACATACTCCACAGAAATGCTTAGCGCAATCTGATATCTCATGCCAGAAAAAGTTTTACCTGTCAGCATATTTGCCATTCTATATGCAGGAAAAGTATATAATGATTAAAACAAAAATGGTATATTGTATTGCATGTTATTTTATCTTTTATAAAATTCTTTCACAGAGAAGATAATATTTTGCATTTTAATTGAACAATTAGTTAATATAGTCATAGATTTCGATTTCTTAAATCTCTATTTACCAATCATTATGTTTATTAATGTCTGTATTACTTGATCTTAGATATTAATGTCATTAATATTTATTCAGTAACTATTTTTAGTTATCAGCTGTCCAGTACTCTTTCCAGTATTAACATGAAGGGAAAGAAAGAAGTACAAGAATGTATTGTTGGGAGGAAATTAGTAGGTATAATATAATAATTCATTTGCCTTTTTTGCCTATTTCTGCTATAACTTTTGCTTTTGAGAGAAGTTTCTGAAAACATTGCTATTCTCATAATTATTCCATTACAGTGACTTTTACACATTGAAATGTGTAAAAGCGCTGTAATAATAATGGATATGATGAAATATGGCTAAAAATAAAAGCCATCCAAAAGAGATAATTTGAATCTCATAGAGTCTTGCCCAGGTATGTAAGTGAAATATGCATCCTATTCATCGAGAAGCTTTTAAAATGTAGAACAGATACAGGATATTTGTAAGAATTGCATGGCAGGGAAAGTGGTTCAATTAAGATTTACCTGGGTGGGGATCAGTATAATCCACAGTATAGCCTTCAAGCTGCATTAATTCTTGTGGTTCAGACTTTTTTTCTCTATAACTGCACATAGCAAAGGTATATTGGCTAACCTGCTCAAGAAAAAAAAAAAAAGTTTACAGATTGGTCATATTTGCCAAACTTAACTTTTGATTTTTTCTTACCAAACCACTCTTTTCCCAAATAAAAATATAACATAATTTGCACATAAATTAGTAAATTTTAGCATTTTTCAAAACCTAGCTCAGAGATTAAAGCACCTTTTGTTCATCAGCTTGCATTTGCCGGGTCTTCTATGCCTATGATCCAGCATTCCCCAGGTCAGTAGTTTGCTGCTCAAGCTTCTATATTAATAGAAGCACCATAAATAAGTATTCATGTTAATATATTTGGGATCATTAGCCTACTAAGAAGATAAATAGCCTTCTTTCACTATGGTTTCTTATGGCTTTTAATATGCTAACATAGACTGTAAATATCTAAGAGTGAGATTAGGAGTAGTCCTAGATTTATATAACCATAGGACCACATATTCAAGAATATTTCTATCAAGACTTTTAATGAAGTAAAAAAAGATCTCAGTAAAAGTTGAGAATTTAGTGCCCACATAATGAAACCCTCAGGCAGGGCAAGGATGGAGTAAATTTTGGGCAGCCAGTGACAACACTTTCAAGATTTGCTCTGCCTCTTAATTCTTCTTGTCTTTTGGAATTGGCTTCATTTCCTTGTGCTGAAGTCTTACTAGAACCATAGCTGCTCTGAAGTCACCTCCCTGAGTGTGTCTGCTTGGACCAGGCCATATGTGAACAAAATACTGTAAGGGGGGAATGTTTCATTAGCCCAGTTTGGGTCAAGAGCTCACCTATGCAGCAAAGAATGTTAGACTGTACAACAGGTAGGCTCTTACAAGGTCCCCCAACACAGATAGAGGGAGGTTCTGTTCCCAGCAGGAGAAAAGGCTGTTTGGTGGATATACATCTAAACTGCGAAATATCCTACAATACAGAGTCCTTGGAAAATAGTGTGTTAGTGGTTTTTTTTNTCAGATGACTGGGTCATGTTTCTCCCAAGATCACAAATTCTCAGAAGACAACAGCAATATATCATTTTCTTTTCTTTCCTTCCTTCCTTTTTTCCTTTTCTTTGAGACAGGGTCTCGCTTTGTCACCCAGGCTGGAGGACAGTGGCATGATTATGGCTCACTTGCAGTCTCTACTTTTGGGGGCCCAGTGATCCTCCCACTCAGCCTCCTGAGTAGGGGGACCACAGGTGTATGCTACCATGCCCAGCTAATTTTTAAAAATCATTTGTAGACACAGGGTCTCTCTATGTTACCCAGGCTTGGTTAATGTTAATTATTTCCTTTTTCTGCTTTTAAACATAAAATGAAACTAAGGAAACATAGTACCTTTCAATAGACAGTGATTACTTCAATATGACCCCAAGAGAAACTAATTATGAAAAACAGTGAATAGGGACGACATTAAAATTGAAGAATTATCTTCATTAAAGGGTACCATGAAGAAAGTAAAAAAGGCAAAGCAACAGACTAAGAGAAGATGTATGCAAAACATATATTGAATCAATAACTAACATCAGAAATATAAAGAACTACAAATCAACAGAAAACACTCAGAATACATGGTAAAAGAATTGGTAAAAGAAGACTTCTTTTTTAAATTTTCACATCCACTCTCTGTACCTGAGGCCAGAAAGAAAGATTTGAGGTAGTGACAGGTGTAATCCAAAGACCAACATTGTTACTTTTAAAAGGAGTAAATGCATTTTCTGTTCTGAGCAAAGAATAGCTCTTTTCTCTGCTCCTGTCTGCTCTTCTACAAAGTAAAAGGTGCAGATCGTTGTGAAAATTACTATGTTAGAGACTGCTAATTTGCATGACAAATTCTGAATTTAGAACCGAAAATTAACACAACCATAACACTTCATTAGAAAAAATACTGATTAGATTAGCAAAAATGAAAATGGTTCACCCATACATACACAGCATGGGTGACCGAATGGAAACTTGGGCAGACTTTCTGGAAGGCCTTCTGGCAACAGGTCCTGTGACATACTTATGCTTTACATACATCACAGTACATAGGTACAAAGATGCAACACATTTTTGCCAAGCATGGCTATGTTGAATCTTTTTATCTTTTTGCCAATTTTGATGAATGGGAAAAGCTCTCACTGTTATTTGCATTTACAATTTCCATTACAATAGGACTGAGAAGTTTCCCTTATATTTGATAAACATATGAAGTTTTCTTTTCTGAGTTTCCTGATCAAATAGTTTGCCTATTTTCTAATATATTATTTTGTCATTTGTACCGTTTTCTATAATCAATTTTGTCAGAGGTTTATTCACTTTTTTAGTGTGTTAACATGGCTAGGCTATAGCATCCAGTTATTTAATCAAACACTAATCTAAATGTGGCTGGGAACGTATTTTGTAGAAATGGTGAACATCTACAGTTGTTCAGCTGACTTTAAGTAGAGGAGATTACCTTTGATATGTGGGTGGGTCTCACACAAGCAGCTGAAGGCCTTAAGAGCAACAACTAAGATTTTCTGAAAAAGACGACATTTTTGTGTGATGCCTCAACACTGTAGTATCAGCCTCTGCTGGAGTTCTAGCCTGCTGGCCTTTCTGGAGAACTCTTACTGATACAGTAACAAAAGCATTACTATATCTTATGCATTCCTTTGGTCCAGCAAGTAGCATATCTCAAGCAAACAAATGGAGAAGTACTAAAAGATTTATATGCATTGTGTTCACTGCAGTGTTGCATATAAGTGGTTTGGTTAAAATATATCATGGCATGACTGCACACTATCGTACTATGAGGCATTAAAAGAGACATGACAGATTTTCTTCTTAACATGAGAACTATTCCTAAGCTGTAACATAAAGAACAAGTTAAAAGCAAAAATGTAGAATGTGATTCTGTGAGTAAACATTATATATATATATGAATTAGACGTATATATTAAAATATTTATGGTGATTATTACAGAACGGTGAAATGATAGTTTTAAGTGTTGAGGTTATTTTTTTAAAGAATGTACATTATTTTAAATGAGAAAAAAGAATAAAGTTATTTCTATTTTGAAAAATAAAAACAACATTAAGCCTTACCAGGGGAGACTGAGGCCAATATCTTCTGATACTTGTGGTTCTTGCTACACTAAATTTTCCTTGTCTTTTTCCTCATCTTATAGATTGTCAATAAATTTACTTTTTCCCCTGCATATGTCTAAGGCTTACAAATGAAAGCCAGTGGCTCCCATAAGGTTTTTTAAAAATACATTATTATCACTTAAAGGTTTCAGTTTCCTTACATTAAAAAGATATACTTGTGTGGGTGTTTTGGGGGATGAGGGTTAAGGAGTTGGAGGTAGGGGTGTTGAAAGGTAAACAATAACAGTCCGATTCTATTTGTTCTAAAAAGTCCATTCTCTTACTCTAGAAAAATAACAGTACAAAGTTACACTATTCTTTCATACAGCTATTTTGCACAGCATTATCTTAAAAATATTATGAAATATCTCAAACATAAAGTACAAAAATACACGAATGTGTATATTTCTTAGAGATATATATGCTTTAAAGCGTATTCTGTAAAGGACAGATACAATTAATACCTATATATGCCCACCCAAGTCCATTTCCTTTCTCTTCTCACAGACAGACACCATGCTGACTTTTCTGTTTATTAGATTATTTCCATGATGTTTTGAAATGCATACCACATATAAGAAAATTGATAAACAACATTAAGTACTTTTTGTGTTTCCAAACTTCATATGAATGGATCATACATATTCTTCCGCAACTTTCTTCCCCAAAAGTTCAGTGTTTCTGATCTTTAACCATCTTGATATAAATATTGTTACTTGAATTACCACACTTTAACCACTCTCCTAGTGATGACCTTCACTTTCTTTCACTTGTTGCCCTGATAAACAATGCCATGATGGACATTCTTGTACACCTTGTCTTGTTCACAAGTGTGAAAGCTTCTCTAGTACCATGTCAAGGACTGGAACTGCTAGGTTGTAGGGCGTGCAGATCTTCATCTTTACTGAATGTTGCCTAGCTGCTTTCCAATTTCTACATTCTACACTCTATACCTGTGGTATATGAGCACTCCAGATATAATATTAATACATCTTTGCCAAGCTGCGAATTTTGGATCCTTTTTCTTTTTTTGCCAACTTTGATGGATAGGAAGTGGCATTTCACTATTATTGGAGTTTGCAATTCTTGTTGCCAATAGGACTAAGAATATTCCCTTCTGTTCATTAGTCATTTGGATTTTTGTCTTCCTTTCTGATGAAATAATTTGCTCATTTTTGAATGTATCATTCATTTGGCCATTTTGTAGCCTTTTCCATAATCAATTCTGCCAGAGATTAATTCACCTTTTTAAAGTTTTCAAAAAATATTTTTGCATTTCGTTAATCCTCTCTGTTGTCTGTTTTTTATTTCCTTAATTTCTGCCATATTTCTTATCTCTTCATTTGGGAGATTTATCTCTCTCTCTCTTTTTTTTTTTTTTTTTTTTTTTTTTTGAGACCAGAGCTTGCTCTGTCACCTAGGCTGGAGTACAATTGCACAATCACAGCTCACTGCAACCTCCGCCCCCTGGGTTAAGCAATTCTCCTGCCTCAGCCTCCCAAGCAGCTTGATTACAGATGTGACCCACAACGTCTAGCTCATTTTTTGTATTTTTAGTAGAGACGAGGTTTCACCATGTTGGCCAGGCTGGTCTTAAAGTCCTGACTTCCAGTGATCCACCTGCCTCAGCCTCCCAAAGTGGTGGGATTACGGTGTGAGCCACTATGCCTGGCCTTGGTTTTTTTTTTAAACTCATATACTTAGCTTATTCATTTTTAAATTCATTTTTAATATATGCATTTAAGTTTATTCTAAGTTCATTTAGCTTCATCTCACATGCAGCATTTTTATGAGTTTCATTCCAAATATTTCTTACTTTTATTATTTATTTTTTATATTGGAGCTACTTAGAAGTGTGTTTTTAAGTTTGGGTTTGTGGTTATATTTTTCAGTTTTAAATTAATGTCA